AACCATTTCTTCCTTTTGCCCAAGAGACCTCGTCCCTTGGGAAAAGGAATGCGCGTTTCATGGAGAGGAGCGAGCGCATCAGTAGAGAGACGTTACAACCAAGAATCTTGATCGTGGCGGCACCTTATTGGTTGAAGGCCTCAAGCACATTTGATTTTTTTTATTTTTTATTTTTTGTTTTCTGACATCGCTCGAAGGAAATGTCCTCGGGCGACGTCTCCGAGGACAAGTAGAACAAAGGGACCAAATTTCATTTTGAACCATTTTTTTTTTTTCTTTTGCCCGAGGATTTCAATAGGAGTACCTAACGAGCCCAATATGGCAATGAATAGAAAATTTTCCCAGAATGAAATAATCATTCCATAGTAAAATTACATTCTAAATTTTAAATTTTCATTCCATCTTGAAAAATGTCCTATCAATTTTAAATTTTTCCGTCTTACTTTAAAACTTTCCTTCCAAGAATCGTATAGCCCTTCTTATTTGAACTGCGTGCTAGAGATGGAATGAAAGTATGGATGAGTTCATGAAATATGTTAATTGGATTGTCATTCTAAGTAAGGATTTTCAGTCATAAATAAGTTAGTTCAATCTAAATTCGAAGATATTTATTGTAGTAAAATGAAAGTTTAATTAAAACATTTCATAAAATCGTCCAGACTTCTATTCCATCTTGAACAGATAGATGTAGTTGGAAGGGAAAACTCATATTTAGACGGGAACTTATCAAATAAAACTGGAAATTTTAGAATTGGACAAAGATTGGAATGATCATTTATATGAATATATTTTTTTTATGGAATGTTTTTTTTTAACTTTTAAATCTCGTGGGAATTTTTCTGTTGATGTATCTTTCCATGTTCTCGTAGAGGATTCAATCTTATTATGCACATTTGGATTATAATGGAGAGTTGACCCTCACATTCTGAACACACGAACGCGTTTTTGTTTTTTTTGTTTTTTTTTTTTCTTAGGAAGACGAATCTCGACTTTCCTGTTTCTCATGTGACTCCCCGTTAGAGGCGCGGAGCAATTCATTGTCTAAGTAGAAACAGCGTCCTCGTTTCTTTTCTGCGGTATCACAGAGGGTAGTAATGGTACAACCCTATTTTTTTCATGTGCTGGTACCTGCTGCCTCCAACCTCGACAAATTCTGGTGCGAAAGGCATGTTTAGACTCGGCATCAATACCTGGGCAATGCATTGGTGTTTTGAGCCGTTGGTCGTGTGTGCGTTACGTGTTACTGTGATCGACTCTTGTATTGCTGAAATTTTCAACCAGCTGTGTTTTTTTAGGCCCTTAAGGCTCGTCTTACAGCCCAAGTTGCAAGTTTTTCTATATGTATATAGGACATGGAAGGAGGGCAAGGGGGGAAGGGGGGGAAGGGGATTTCTGCAAACACCTTATTTAGGATGAAGGAAACAGGTTTTGTAAGTGAGAGAACAAGGAAGCGATTAGCAGAACGAGAGGAACAATGGAGGTATACAACCTCAACAACTTTAACATTTCAGGATTTTAGAACCACACTCAGGCTGTATTGCCAAGTTATAAGCACTCAGGCATTGTCATACGCCCATAAAACTTGAAGCACTGCAATCTATATCTCCAACAATAGTACTAACAAGTCAAGTACTCAATTTTGGCGTCCGCTTGGCCACTGTTACACACATACACACACTAACAAGCAAACACAGATCGCACCATCATTCAAAATTGTCACATGCTGCTTTCACATTGTGATATAGTGCAGCCACGACATTAATTCACCACAGACGGATATAACTACTAACAATGACGTTTCGACAATCACTCACCACTCACACCCATGAATACTAAAACGAAAACTAATGGTACGACAACCATACAGACACACACCACCAACACAATCTACATTATCGACATGGACATTCATGATGATTCATTTTATGTACGGCGTTCGGCCTCCTCAATTTTTATAGAGGCACAAAACAAGTTCTCTAGTTGCGAGGGGTGCCATGTACTGGTGGTTAAGCCACCAGTACACGGCCTCAGCCTTGCAGCAAAATAACTTGTCGCCTCAAGAAGTTCAAGTTAACGGCGGGCTCGGACCAGGGTCAGAGCGTCATAAGGTTTTCAAAATTTTGGGCCCATGTCAAATCTGCACGTCCCAAAAAACAAAACAAGCTTTGCCCGTGATTGCAGTTGGATACACTTTTTTGAGTTACTGTACTCCGTGTGAGTCTGCCCTCATTGAGGGCACTTAGGGCCTCGTTCCACTTTTCGCCATCCGCCAGGCATGGCGGATGCGACTTCGTTCCACTGCATCGCCAATAGCCACGAAATGGACGTTGTCAGAACTTGGGTCTGAAATCACTTGGCGATGTGTCTCCAAGGCTATCCATTTCCCCTGCCAACAACCGCCCTTCGTGGAGGGCACTACTCCTCATCCCTCCGCGACATGCTTCGTGTGGCCATTGCCCCTGACACAGGGGTCCTGACAGTCGACCTGCGTTGCCCCCTAGTGTTGGCGAGTTTTCGCTGCACCTGGACTGATTTGCAGTCCGAGTACATGGTGAAAAGAAGGCAGCCACCGTTCCATTAGCTCGCTATCCGCCACAGTCCCCGCCACAGTCCGGGGAGCAGGCCGGGACAACAACCACAGCGCACGTGGGCGCGGCGATGTAATGGAACCAAGAGCCATTTTTTCATCAGAAAAATGCACTTTTCGGCCTCACCAAGGGCCTCGTTCCACTACTCGCCATCCGCCATGCGACTTTGTTCCACTGCATCGCCAATAGCCACGAAATGGATGCTGTCAGAATTTGGGTTTGAAATCACTTGGCGATGTGTCGCCGAGGCTTCCCATTTCCCCTGCCTGCAACGACCCTTCGTGGAGGTGCTACTCCTCACCCCTCCGCGGAATGTTTCGTGTGGCCATTGCCCCTGACACAGCGGTCCTGACAGTCGACCTGCGTTGTCCCCTAGTGTTGGCGAGTTTTCTCTGCACCTGGATTGATTTTCAGTCCGAGTCCATGGTGAAGAGAAGGCCACCACCGTTCCATTAGCTCGCCATCCGCCACAGTCCGGGGAGCAGGCCGGGACAGCAACCGTAGCGCACGTGGCGGCGGCGATGTAATGGAACCAAGAGCCGTTTTCCGCCAGAAAAATGCACTTTTCGGCCTCGCCAAGTCTCGCCACTGTTTGTGGCGGATGGCGAGTAGTGGAACGAGGCCCCAAGTCTCGCCACTGTTTGTGGCGGATGGCGAGTAGTGGAACGAGGCCCCAAGCCTCGCCACTGTTTGTGGCGGATGGCGAGTAGTGGAACGAGGCCCTTAGGCAGAACGAAGAACACGGGGAGCACGGCTGTCAGACAAAAAAAGAACAAAAAAAACAGTCAACAAAGCTTTGGCCGTGAAAGTGGTTGGATGCATTGGAATGACGCTACCTTCTTCCCCCGAATACAACGTATGGTCATTATAGCTGTATCTAGGGTATCTTTCAGACTAAATTCAGCTATAATGACCGTACGTTGTATTCGGGGGAAGAAGGTAGTGTGAGTATGCTTTAAGGGAGGGCTTTTTGAGCACGAGGAATATGCGCTGCCTTGCTGGCAGGGACGAAAGAAAAGAACAAAAAGAGAAAAAAAGGAAAAACAGCAACGGTGCCCTCTCGCGGTAATAGTGGTCAGATGCATTCTGGAAAGCGATCATTTGAGTATGGCCTCCATGACGTCATTGATCTCTGGCATGTTTGTTCCTTTCTTTTTTCTTCAGGTAGACCTTCGGCACCGGTGCCACTACCGAAATTCCCAGTGCAGGTACCCTCACGCAGAAGGCTCGACCGCTGCAGGTACAGCGGTACCCTCACGCAGAAGGGTCGGGAAATAGCAGCGCGCAGTGGGGAGGTAGCCTCGGGATTTTACGTGCGGGTGTTCTGGTGGTACTAGCTGGATTTTACAACGGTAGGCGAGCTGCAAAGGCTACAGAGGATAGCGTAGCCAACTGCCACCGCAGTCACAATTCTATACAAACAAATAGCCACAATGTTTAGGGACTCCGGGCCCGATTTCCAGCAGGTGCTGCTCCCACCAATAGATGGGAGCCTCCCCGGGGGCTAGGTCCCACTTACACGAATTAAGAGATATTGACCGTAGATAGATCAGATCAACGGTCAGAATCTCGTAATCCGTGCAAGTGGGACCTTGGCCCGGGAGTACTAGCTAGTGGTGCCTGCTCTTATCAGCACCCGTAGCATCGACTCCGAAAGAAGAAACAGAGGACCCGAATGGCATCTCAGTTGTTTGGTACCCGAAGTATTGCAGGTGGTGAATGGGGATTGGGGATTGAGCCCATGACCTCCTAAATGCCACTTGCGAACCCAAGCATCTCAGATAGGCCGCTTGGTCGGCTCTGTGACTTGACGTATAATTTTGATCTTGAAAAATAGGAGGCGGCCTGGCCTCTCATTCGAACCCCCTCCACCGAGCCACAGATCGGACGGTAGAGAACACGCCAGGCCGTGAGATATCATCGCTGACCAGCCCCAGGTAAATTCAGAGTCGTTTTCACTGATCCGATTTCATTGGAATTCGAACTCAGGCACACATTCCAACAGTTAGTAGGTGTACCAACTGAGCTACGCCAGGCCAGTTGGGGCCAGGCCCGAATCTGTCCGCCTGCAAGGCATACCGCCTGGCGAGACGCGAGGAGGGAGTGCGACAGCCCGATCGACGGTGACTGTCTCACATGTCACTCGCCCCCCCGGCCTTCCTGCACTCGCATCGTAATCGTCGCCCATCACTAGGTCCGTTGCCTGCTTACCGCCATGCACAACAACAATAGCGGTGTCACGCAGGGCAGCAGGGAGTGCACCGGCAGCAAACCGGCAGCAAACCGGCAATAAACCGACAGCAAAACGGCAGTAAACCGGCAGTAAAAAACCGGCAGTAAACCGGCAGTGCACCGACCGGCAGTAAAAACCGGCAGTGCACCGGCAGTGCACGGACCGGCAGTAAGAAACCGGCAGTGCACCGGCAACAAAACAGCCGACCGGCAGTGCACCGGCAACAAAACAGCCGACCGGCAGTAAGCTGGCAGTGCACCGGCAACAAAACAGCCGTGCACCGGCCGCAAACCGGCGACAAACCGGTAGCAAACCTGTAGCAAACCGGTAGTAAACCGGCAGTAAACCGGCAGGGCAGCCGGCAGTACACCGGCAGCAAACGGGCAGTAAACGGGCCGGCTTGGAGTGAGTGACAAGGTGAGTTCTGAACCATTCTCCGTCTCCGCTTCCCTACTCTCTTCCTCTTCTGCTCATTCTTTGCTTCCCGCTCTTCCGGTTTTCTCTTCCTCGTTTTTCGCCACTCTTCTTCGTCTTCTCCATCCGAGACTCCTCCTTCGTCCATGTTTCGCTCCCCATGCCGTCCATTCCTTCGGTGCCTTCTTTTCCTGCTCGTGGACTGAAGTGTCAGCTTGCCCTACCTACTCTCCCTTCTTCCTCCTCGCGAGAAAAAAAAAAAAAAAAAAAAAAAACGATGGCGCGGTATCGGGATAGCTCATCGCCCTCGGTGTCTCGCTCCCCCTACCTACTCTCCTTCTTCCTCCTCGCAGAAAAAAAAAACAAAAAAAAAACGATGGCGCGGTATCGGGATACCTC